CTAGGGTTTTTTTTTTTCTTTTTTCTAAGAATCTGCATCTTTTATGGTATAAAATGAAAGTATTTTACTCAGAATAGTATAAAGTGTTATAATGCAAATATTTTGAAACCTAGAAGCAACAGAAAAAAATAAAAATTGGCTATATTAAAAGTGTACACTTGCTCCTAGAAGGGTGGCCTGAAAAAGTACTAATTCTTCATCAAGAATCTGATGTTCTGTCTGGTTTTTGAAGACAGTCTCACTCTGGCCTGGAATTTATGATGTAGCTGAGGATGGCCTTGAATTTGTGATCCTCCTGCCTCTACCTCTCGAGTAGTATATACTTACTGGCATGTGTCAGTACCCACAGCTTGGGTTTTTTTAATTTTGTTTTGTTTTGAGACAGAGTCTCACTATGTAGCCCTAGTTGACTGGAACTCATTATATAGACCAAGCTGGTTTAAAACTCAGAGATCCTCCAGAAAAGCAGGAATAGTAATCAATGCATTGTCTTTCACAATGGATACAAGCATTGTCCTTTTGTTTATTGTGGGTTTGTACTTTCTCCTGGACTCTTCCACTGATGCAGTCATAGGCCACACTGAGAACATATCCACCTGCCTTGGACTGGAACTAAAGGCATATGCTACAATGCCAAGCTTCTCAACTTAAAAATTTATTTATTGCTGGGTGGTGGTGGCACACGCCTTTAATCCCAGCACTTGGGAGGCAGAGGCAGGCGGATTTCTGAGTTCGAGGCCAGCCTGGTCTACAGAGTGAGTTCCAGGACAGCCAGGGCTACACAGAGAAACCCTGTCTCGAAAAAACCAAAAAAAAAAACTTATTTATTTTTATTATAGGTATGTGGGTGTACCATGAATATGCTTGAGGAAGCAAGAAGAGGGTGTCAGATCCCCTGGAACTGGAGTTACAGGCATTGTGAAACCAGCATCTGAGTGTTGGGAATCAAACCCTGGCCCTAACCTCATCCCCACTTAAAAAAAAAAAAATTCTAAAAAAAATGGTTTCATTATGTGGCCCTGGATGCTCTTGAATTTGTAAGCCCTCTGCCTCCCGAGGTCTTTAAGAACAATTGTGTATAATACCATGTCTAGCAGTCAACTTCATTAGACAGTGGTTTTTGCTTTGAAATGGGATCTTGCTGTGTAGCTCAGGCTGGCCTTTCACTTTGTAGACTAGACTAGACTCAATCTTGTGATAATTCTCTTACTTCTGCTGTATAAGTGCTGGGATTATAGGCAAGTGCCATCTAAAGGGGCTTAGATTTGTCTGACTGGGCTAGGACAGCCTAAAACATTGACAACCACTAGGTTCTGTCTCAGTCCATTACGCTTCTGCACATTCTCTTTGGATGACCTCATTTACTTTCCTCCATCTTCGTAGGACTCTCAGACCCCAGTACTGAGGAAATCTTCAGTACCCACAAGTTCCTCTATATATTCAAAACTCTCTCTTTGGCTGATGTTTTCTTTGGTTGGAGGAACACCGATACTCACTGCTGTGTTCTAGTAGTGACCACCTCTGGCTATGGGATGGGTGACACACACCCCTCACCAATAACAGATAGCTTTTCTCTGGCGTATTCAAACTGTAGTATTCAGATAGCTGATCAATGTTGTAAGGCCTAGAAAGTTGCCAAGACATGGGTAGGGAAGGTGGAAATGCTTTGATGTGTTTCTTGTCTCCACTCCATCCCTTCCACAGAGGGTTGAAGGTCTCACATCTCTCTTCCTACTTTGATCTCCTGTGGAGTCTCCCTTGAAGTCCACTCAGTGTCTCTACCTTATCCCATCCCCAAAAGTTCTGTGCAGTGCGTGTGTACTTGGGAATCTGACCCAGGACGTTGGGCATACCAGGCTCACATTCTACCTCCGAGCTATATTCCACGTCTCAACCCCTACCCTTCAGGTACTTTGGAAGTTACACAGATGCCTGCCTTCATGGAGCCTAGAAGCTTTCCCTCAGGGGCCATTTTGAAAGCTCTGTACAGTGGCAAGGAGTGGCCTGTGTATAGCTGGGGGAGAGAAAGCTTTGTTTTGACTCTCCCTGTTTTTTTTTTCTCTTGCTTCAGATCAAAGCCAGGGTCTTGTGCACGCTAGGCAGGTGCTCTGCCCTAGCTCTCCGAACCTTCAGTTCTGTCAGACACGCCTTTAAACGAAATACACTCAAACAACTTAAGAGTTTGACTTACTTGTCAAGCACCCTCTTGGCACTTCATGTCACTCCACTGCTACTATATTTCATTAGAGCAGGTCCTTACTCCTCTTATGTATTACAGCCTTGACCCAGTTTCTACAGTAATATGGCGTCACCTTCCTCTTCCTCACCCATTTTATAGCATTAGCCACTATGGAATGATGCTGAAATTTCAAGTTTTTCTCTCTGGAGGGAAGGGACAAGAAGTTTCTGTTCATCTCATCTTGAACAGTCTTCTCTTTAAAGGACTAGTCAGTCCTGGGTGCGCACACTGTTCTAGGGTGTGACTGCAGACATCACCCTAAAGTCATGCTGAAGTCCATTACCCAACAAGAGTATTAAGAGCTGGCGACATTTAGAAAGTAAGTCATGTGGGCTCCAGCCTTGTTGGTGGAACTAGTGCCGTTGTATGAGGGATTTGAGGCCAGACTGTGTGGCATATGTTATGCCATATCTGGGGAGGTGTAGTCAATTTGAGACCAGCTTATCTCTGAGGGTAAAAAGGTGGGTGAGTCAGGAATATAACTCAGTGTAGAGTACAGGGATTAAAGACATATGCCACTACCGCCCATCTTTGAAATAAAAGTTTGAAGGTGTGGCCCATCAGTCGGCTTCCCCGTGTTCCAGCAGATGACTGCACAGCCATTCATATAGAGGGAGCACTAGCAGGATGCAGTGGGCTAAAAGGCTTTTCAAAATAAATAAGTAAAAACTTATGAGAGCTGGAAGCATGTGCCACACTCTGAATCCTCTGCCATTCAAAGATGAAAAAACTATTTTAAGATTTCCAGCAGCATTTTTGTGAGTCCAAAAGGCATTGGCCCTGCTGAAAAGATGGCTCAGTAGTTAAGAGCAGATAATGTCCCGGCACCCACATTAGTTGTCAGACTGCCTGTAATTTTAATTCCAGGGGTTCTGATGCCTCTAGACTTCGTAGGCATCTGCACTCACGCGCACACACACGATCAAAAATAAATCTTTTAAAATTATTGGGCAACCTGTCCCCAACATGACTTCTTACTTAAAGATGCAGCACACTGTGTAAAACTGGGGATGGGCAGGCTGTGGTCACAGAAGCCTTACTCTGTGCAGGGCCCAGGAAGTGCTCCTGAATGTGATGCGTGAGCAGAGCCAGACTTCCAGAAGAACTACTGGGCACAGTACATTGCAAAGGCAGGGAGTATCCAAGACAGACACATGGGAGACTAAAGCCAGTCCATAGTGTTTTGAGGCAGCGTCTTGTTATGTAACCCAAGCTGGCTTGGAACTCACTATGTACCCCAGGCTGGCATTAGCACCAGGATTTCAGGTATGGGCCATCGTGTTCAGCTTCACTGTGGCTTCAAAGTACAACAGATACACTCTTCTGGGCTGTCGCTTGCCTTTACTGTTTTCCAAGTCCTGTAACAGACCCCCATCTCAAGTATCTCAAGACTTGTAACCTCCAGGGACTAGAGTGCTGCCTGGTATTGCCCCTCCCCTCCACCCCCGGTTTATTTCCTAGGGATAACCAGGTCTGCCTTCACTAACTGAGGATAGAGCCTCCTGAACCTTCCTGAGTATGTCACATTGTAGGCTGGGCCCACTGAATCTCTCCTGTCATTCTTTACCTTAGCCTATATCTACAGAATCCTTTGCTACAGACAATTTCATTAAATTTCCCTGTGAGCCCAGATTCACTGTCAAATGTACTCACAAGAGATGTCTGTGCTTTCCAAGAGCAGATAGGGCCTGAGTCAGAACACTGGCTACCTCAGATACCTACTACATACAGCTGCAGACAAGGAAGCCCCTTCTCTCCTCTGAGCCTGGGATTATCCAGACAAACAGAGCCCTTTCTTAGAGCCCTAAATTTTGCTACCGACTAGACTTCTAAATCTTGCTACCGACTAGACTTCTAAATCTTGCTCTTCCCACGGACAGTTCTGCTTCCTGTCTTAACAACTCTGAAGCACTGGACCTTGAATCTAGGCCCTCACCCAGGTTTAGCAAGAACCCTATTGCTGAGGTACTCCCACAGCCCGCCTGCATTTTCAGTCATCAAACCTGTTCACTTGTTCTTCCCGGGGCTTAAGAGTCCTTTTGTATTCTCTCCCTCTGGGTAACTGGTCTTAGTTGATCCCTCATAAACCCCACACAACTGTCATCATGTGGGTGACAGTGGGCTCCTTCAGGCAGTCTTTTCTGTTAGACTGCTTGTGCCTGGTGCTTGTCCCTGTACAGCCCAGGGGTTGTGGCAGGGTCTCTCCTTCCAGGAACTCGAATGCGTCCTGCATCCTCAGCTTCTGACACTGGTCCAGGCTCGGCGAGGTTAAGGAAGGCGACCCCGAGGCCCCGCCCTAGGACGCACCCACAGGCCTCAGGGAGGCTGCGATCCTCGCTGCTTACCCCGAGACAGAAATTCGCTCCTTTGGGGCTGAAGGTTTTGGCTGGGCCGCAGCAGCACCTGCTTTGAGGTGTCCAGATCTCCCCGACAAACAGGCTTGGTACAGCCCGGGGATTCCCCGCCGCTACCGCCCTGACGTCATGGAGTCCCCGGGAGGCCCCGCCCCTCCTGTTCGGGCTTGGGCTGTGCGCGGCCGCTAGGCACTCGGCGGCCATGGCGGGACCCGGCGCCCCCTGCGATCCCTGCGCGCCCGTCGCCGTCTGGAAGCGCCACATCGTGCGGCAGCTGCGGCATCGGGACCGCACGCAAAAGGCGCTCTTCCTGGAGCTAGTGCCGGCTTGTGAGTGTGTCCCCGGGGGCTCAGGGATGACAGGCTTTGAGGAGGTGGGGTTCGGGGAGAGGGCTTGTCCCGCCGCTCGACTTGTGACTCAGGGCAGCGGCGCCGTCTTGGTTCCCGAGGGCCTTGCATCTTGGAAACTGTTACGCCCCTCTCTGGACAGGCAGACTCCCTGCCTGCGGTTTCCAGCCCGGGTGCTGCTTAGCCCTCAAGACTCAGCTTTGCTTCCCTTGAGCATCCTACACACAAGCTCTGTCTCAGTGCTCGTTTGGAGCAGGGCCTGGTCAGTCCGTTTGGTCCCAGAGTCAAGTTAAGGAAGGCAGGCGTGGCCAGAGCAGCCATGGTAGCTGAAAGGAAAGAGCGAAAGTCTGGTAGGATCTGCTGCGGATAGGTTATGCTGGTATGTGTTCGTGGAGCACCTCAGTGCCTAGTGGATCATAGCTCGAATGGGGCCCCAGGTTTCTTTAGGGTGCTTGACATGCCAGCGGAAGTTGAACTTTCATGTGGTTATTTCTGGGCAGTTTGGCCAGGAGGGGGTGTGTGCACTCCAGCCGAGGAACACTGGAGTGCATCTGTATTTACTGCCTTTTGGTCGACTGTGACTGTGTGTTTGAGGCTGAAAGTCTACTCCCTACTGCTTCCTCACTTGGTGCTAATTTTGATACACCCACGCAATCAAACTTGTTTTCCTTGGAACTTTGTAAGGGCTGCCTCTCTCTTGGGGTCGTATACCTCTACCTCCAGACAGCCTCACTTCTCCAACTTCTCTGATGAGCAGTGGGGCTATCGATTTAAGGGAGGGATCCCCCCATTTAAGGGAGGAACCCCCCCTCCAGAACTGTACGGGAGCAGCAAGGCTGGGGACCTAGAGAGAACCAGGTCTGTGGTTTTGGGTAATTCAAGTCCTTTATCTCAGATTTCTTACTTAGAAATGAGGCACATTGTGACCTTGTATGCTGGGGTAGGGGTGCTTGCAATGCCTTGGGGTTTAGGGTAGAGTTTTGAGAATTAGTCGGGGTCCAGGAACCTGTCTCCATGGTAACAGTGAGGTAAGGGAGGTGCTGATCGCAGCCCCAGTCTGCCTGGAACTGGTAAAAAAAAAAAAAAAAAAAAGGTGTGGGTGGGGGGGGGGGGTCCAAGGTCTAACCACCTAACCTGGGAAGATTTGTTAGATAATTGCTCAAGGACCTTCAGTATTGACCTGGGGGAAGCTGTTGGGTGGAAGTGGGAATTACTTCATTGTAAACCTTGAGCCTCAGAGGGGAAGTGACTTGCTGGAGGCCATACACAGGTGGTTTTGTTTGTTTCAACACCTCTGGATCAGACTTTGCCTCTGACAGAGGTGAATTAATCCCAGGCCCCTTGCTTTCCTTCTGTCTCTCTTCAAGTGCTAGGTAGCCATGTTTGTCCGAAGCATTGGTAGTCTTTCTGTCCTTGTCTCCTGGGTGGGCTTGTGGCCATGCTGTGAAGAGGCTTTGCCAGACACAGATATCCCCCAGGAAGGGGAAGAGCCCAGCTCCAGGGGCTTCCCTATCCCTAGGACCCCTGGTCTCCTTCAGCCATCCCAGCATGAGGCAACTTGTATGTCAGGAGTTTGCTGGCAAGCATCTGCCTTTGCCACAGGCTCACCCTTTTGCATCCCCAGATAACCATCTTCTAGAGAAGGCTGAACTGCTAGCCAAGTTCTCAGAAAAGTTGAAGTCAGAGCCAAAGGATGTCATCTCCATCCCACACAAGGACTCAAGGTGAGTTGTCTGTGAGTGATCAGAGCTGCTTATGCCTGCCTCTTTGCTGTGCTCAGCCCTGGCACCTCTTCAGCCTGTAGCTATTGGGGATGTGAGAGGGGGCAGTAGTAGAAAGCCTCTTGAGTCCTCTCCAAGCTCGATAAACGATATGCGTAATATCGTTTGCCCTGACTCTTGTCTGCATTTGTCTCCTGTCCAGTCCTATTCTTCTGTTTCCCCTTCTGAACCTCGTCCCTCTCCCTGTTCCTTACCTGATACCTTCAAAAAGAGGCTTACGAAGAACAGGGAATGGGTTGGAAACATGATAAGAGGACGTAGCCTAGGTAGGCTGGAAATGACCTTGAATTCCTGGTTTTCCTGCCTCTACCTCTCCACTTAGGATTACAGGTGTGTGCCAGCTTATCACACCAGGCTCTCTTGTGTGTTTATGTGCTATTTGTATGTGCATCTGTAGAGACCAGAGGTTGACCTGTGTCTTCCTTAATTATATTTCACCTTAGTTGTTAAGACAAGGTCTTACACTGAACCTATATCTAGCAGATTCAACTTTTTCAGCTCTTGGCAAAGTGTGCCAGGTTCTTTAATATAGGTGCTGGGGCCCAAACTCAGGTCCCCACTCTTGGGTGGCAAGCAGTGTATCTATCTAGGGAACCATCTTTCCAACTCTAAGCTCTTTTTAACAGGTTCTCATTATGTAGCCCAGGCTGTCCTTGATTACAGAATACTGTTTTAGCTTCCTGAGTTCTGGGAAAGCAAGCAAGTGCCATTGTGTGCCATTGAGTGACACCGGCAGAGGTCCAAGGTCTGGACCATCCTAGAGCAGAAAGGTCACGGATATTAGATCTGAGACTGCTTGTTCTCTGATTGGCTTCCACTTACCCCAAGAGAGAGCAAATGGCTCCTCAAGCTTTTTATGGGGGACTCTTAGGGCATACTTTGGGCACTGGGGTGAGAGGAGGAGCCATGAATTCTTCTTATTGGTTGTCAGGGAGGAAGTCTCAGGGACAGGCCTTGACCAAGTCTCATCACCAGCCTCTCTGAGGGTGATGTGGCAGCAGGAGAAGAAGGGGCTGCAGCTGGTGTGTGGTGAGGTAAGCAGGGTGGGGTCTGAGAATGTTGGGGGAGGGAGAGATGGTCTGCAGAAGGCAGACAGAGAGTGGTGCTGTTTTTGCTGCATTATCTCAGTCAGTCCTCTGTGACTTTATAGTTGTAGAGGAGTGCATTGGGGCTTAGAGATGTGGACCCTGGACTTGAACCTTTACCCACACAAATCTACTTTCCTGGATTCTTCATTCACTCTTTCAACAACTTTTTATTGACAATCCAAAGAACAGGGAGTGTGGCCATAAACAAGACCTGGTCCTGTGGGTTTCCATGGAGACTGTGATGCGCCAGTAATCACAAGTCATTATAGCATGTCTCCTCACCTGCCCAACACAAGGTGGGAGCAGGTTATGAAGATGTCCGAGGGCCTCTCCCCAGTGTGCTATGTGGTTATAATTTGACAGTGGTGTGACATTATCATGAACAGATTTATGTAGCCATCATGATATTGCAGTGCTTGTCTATAAGATCTCTTTTTTGATACCTCTTTTTCGTCACACTGGAACAGCTCTAATCCCTGGCAACCACTAAATCTCTTTCTACCTCTACCTATTATTTGAATTTTGAAAGCAAGTGACTGGTGAGGGGGATGGAGATGGCGACTGGCTTTCTCAGTGTTGAACACGATAAATGAACTGGAGTGGTAGAGGCAGATGTCTGTGAGTTCAAAGCCAGCCTGGTCTACAAAGTGAATTCCAGGACAGCCAGGGCTACACAGAGAAACCCTGTCTCGAGAAAAAACAAGAAACAACAAAACAAAGATAAACAAGGCTATAATTGGGTTATGAAGGAATGGGTGCTCCAGCTGCCTGCACAGGGTCCCTCCCCAGGCCTCTCCTCTCACATGAGCAGTTGTGTCAAGGCAGGTGAGCAGCCCTCGATCACTCCTCAGGCTCTGGGGAGGAAGAATTAGGAACAAGATAGTAAGAAGAATTCTCCTCACCCCCAGCTGTCATCAGTTCCTAAGTTACAGGTGTTTATCCTGATCTTCTCAACACTGGTGGGCACAGCTTTGCCTGGGATCTGTTCCTCACTAGGGCAAGGCAGTGCCCACTGATGGGGCTGCGTCCCTGTAGCCTGCTCAGTTCTTAGCTCTCAGCTGAAGGAATGCTGAGATATCCTCAACCCAGGGCTCCAGGACTGAGTCTGGCTCCTGCTCTCCTGTGTTCTTGATTTTAGTCTTATGTGCTTCTCTGCTGAGGGCTGCCTACATAGGCCAGTGGCAGGGCATGGGCTAGGAAGCCAGATGTTGAGGAATGGGAAACAGAACTCACATCCCTTGCACCCCTTAGTACACCATTACTTTACATGGAGCTTAGTGTAGTTAGGTGGCTTGGGTTCAAGTAATCAGGTCTGCCACTTAGCTGTGTAACTTTGGGTGAGTCACTTAATGGTTGTTGGCTGCCTTGTGTATGTCAAATGAAAATGAAAATGGAAGTGCTTCCTTTGGTGCTATGGAGACTGAGTCAGTGTGTGTAGAGTGCTTGGGGCAAGGCATGACAAGTGCCAGCTAATAGTCTGCCATTATTGTAGGTTCCTAATAGTTCTGGGTTACCTTGTGATTAGGAAAGCACTACCCTGACATTTCACAGGTCCGGAAATGGAGCAGATTTCTCCTGCCAGATTCCTCCTGCTTCAGATTAAATATCTACCGCAGGGTCACCAAGAAAATAAAGGACATCGCTAGTACTGACACTTAGGGGTCAGACTCTAGAGCTCCGGGTCTGAGAATTATCTCATGAAGCTGCAGGGCAAACTTAGCTCAGCCTGGGCTTCCTTGTCAGGAACTAGGCAACGGGTGGTGGCTGGCTAGGTTCACCCCGCAAAAGTGCCCATGCCTCTTGTCCTTCCCAGATGGCCTATCAGGTGGTGAAGAAGAGCGCAGCCCTAAACACCCTGCAGTCACAGCTGGAGGAACGGCAGGGCAGGTGAGATGAGGGTCGGGCTTGGTCTCTACCCCAGGCAAGAGGATGGGAAGGGGCCCTAAAGCTTTCCTCTAGTCCCCAAGCAATCTCTAGACCTGTGTGTGGTTGGGGTTAGAGGACCCACGAAGACACCGGCTGATGTTTACTCTGCAGGCTGGAAGACCTGCAAGCCTGCGTGGTGCAGCTACAGGAGGTGCGGGCTCAGCAGTCCCGGCAGCTGGAGGAACGGGAAGCGGAGAACGCGGCACTTAGAGAAGCCTATGAGACGCTGCTGGACCAAGCGGCGCACCAAGAGGCGGCACTGCGCAGGCTCCAGGAAGAGGCTCGCGACTTGCTGGAGCAGCTTGTGCAGCGTAAGGCGCGCGCCGCCGCCGAGCGCAATCTACGTAATGAGCGTAGAGAGAGGTGAAAACTCTGGGATATGCCCCTTGGGAGGCAATCTGGACTCAGCCTGGTTAAAAGGTGTGGGGATGGGGGTGAGTGTGGGGGAGGTCAGGGTCTCCCACTGATCAGAAGGATCTGCTTAGGCTGTGGTGCCCCTTCTACAAAGCACCTCCTTTAGCCTTTTCTCTCTACCAGGGCCAACCAGGCTCGGGTGTCCCAGGAGCTGAAGAAAGCGGCTAAGCGGACTGTGAGCATCAGCGAGTAAGAATGGGCAGGGGACAGGGATGACTCTAATACTGGGAGCTGACCTAGGATGTGTGCATGACCCACAGTCTACTCACACCTTACTCCTGCTGGCTACAGGTACACCAGGTGCCTATGTATATGCACAGGTCAGGTCATTAGACACTTGTGGAGATAATGTGTGGTCACAAAAGCCAATACTTTGCAGCTAGCGATTATCACCTGTTCTTTAGCGCTGCGGTAGGGAGGGGCTTCCCCTTTGGTCTTTTCTCTCTCAGGATCCCAAACACTCTAGAAGATGGGACCAAAGAGGAGACTGTGGCTCTAGCTCCTGCCGCTATGCCTGAGTTCTTGGAGACTGAGACTTGTGAAAAATGGAAGAGGCCTTTCAGGTGAGCATTCCATTATTCCCACCTGACCTGGCCCCCCACTCAGGAGGCTGTCCACAGCTTCCAGGAGCAGCTTTTGGAGAGGCTTGTGTACATCCCAGTACCAGTCCCACCTCCAGTGTCATGAGGCAGTGTTACCTCATTCCCTACTTTGAAGAACCAGTGCCCTCGAGGGTGAGCTATGAGGCTTATAAAAGGGTAGGGAAGTAGACAAGACCCTGGGACACTCAGGTGTCCTAGGTTTGTGTGTGTGAGCATGGGAGTGTATGTGTGTGTCCACACAGGGGCATGAGCACCTGTGCAAGATTAATGAGCATGCCTGAGTGTGAGCCTGTGTCAGAGTGTGTTCACACTTGAGATCAGATGGGAGCTTGACTCTTTGGGTGCCTCCCTGCTAGCCTCAAACACAGTGTAAAGTCAAGGATGGCCTTGAACTCGTGATCTTCCTGCCTTTACCTCCCAATAGCTGGAATTATAGGCATGTGCCAACATATCTGGCATCCACTACATCTTGGTTGGCCTGTGGTTGGGCTGCCCCTCCTTTCCCATTTTTGGGTTCTTTTCCAGAAGACTTTTCCTTCAGACACCCATGTCCCTGGGACAGTCAATAAACAGGAGCATCATGTAATGCTACTTCCCCAAATTCTTGGCAATCCTAATGAATCTAGATAGCCCAGCATAAACACTTTCTTGGGTGTTTTCAGGGGACAGCTCAGCGAGCTGGGGGTTTCCCTGCTCTCTGTCTCACCCTGGAGGCGCCATTCTCTTCCTTAGCCCTCTCCACAGGCCGGGGCTTGGTCTCCCAGGAGCTTTTCTTGGTGAGCACTTAGAGAATGAGACTCTTGGTACCATCTTGGGGGAGACTTGGGGAGGTGTTCATTGCCAAGATTCTCCCTCCCGCCACCCTTCTGGGTTACCTATGTCATCCTAGTCTTCAAGGAGTCAAGTTCTAGTTCTTGCCTTGAGCAAGCACGAGCCTTTTCAAAGGTCCCTAGCAAAATACAAGGATCAGTGCTGTTGGCACAGCTGTGAGCCAGGCTCTCAGTACGTCTCTCCATTCTGCCCCAGGTCTGCCTCGGCCACCTCCCTGACACTGTCCCGCTGTGTGGATGTGGTGAAGGGGCTGCTGGAGTAAGTGTGTGTGTGTACATGTGTGAAGGGACTGGCACGCCCTGTAAGGCTTCCTGAGCATAGCCTTGGTCTGTCCGTCCTTTGGTACCTGTCTGTATGTGCATCTTGTTGGGCTCCACAGGCAGGATCTGAGTGGATAGCTCAAGACCAACTCTTTATAACTATTTTCCAGGTTCATAATGCTCTGTCCTTGTTCAGAGTCCTCATAGGGGACTGAGCGCCGGCCTGAGGTTGATTGATCGGTTGGGAAACTGAAGCTCAAAAATGTCTAAGATTTGTTCAGAGTTAACTTAGCCTAGCAGTGGTAATGCCATGAGTAATATTCCAGCCACGCCTAATGCTTTCCTGTATCCACCACTCTGTCTTATGTCTGCTCGTCTCAGTGTACAGTGCCCACATCCCCACAGTGGTCAGGCTGGGTTGTGGACCTTGTTTACTGTGCCATGGGTAATGTCCTGCCGCTTGCCATGTCTGCTTGTTGTTGCTGCCTCAGGAAAGCTTAAAGTCCTCACAGCAGCAGGCTTTGCTGAATGCTTTTCTATCCCCACCTCTGTAGCTTCAAGAAAAGAAGAGGTCACTCAGTTGGGGGTGCACCTGAGCAGCGATACCAGAGCATCCCTGTGTGTGTGTGTACCCAAATTCCTTCCCAGGCTCAGGATGTCTTGGTAAGGAAGGAGCTTGGCCATATGCCTGAGGTGCTGATAGGAGTGTTCCAGGGTGGGCCAAGTGGGCTGGAAAAGCAAGGCTGGAGGAGTTTGCCCTCAGCCTGTGGTGGGAGCCACACAGCATTTTACAGTGTAACACAGACTAGATAGCGTGAGAAAGGAAACAGACACCCAGCATGGGGCTTGGGGCAGAAGGGGTCTAGGCATAGTTGAAAAGACTTTCTGCGGACAGGTTTGAAACTCAGGCTTGCAGAGACCTTCAAAGAGAACTGCCAATGCAAGAACAGGTGTGAAAAGTCCTGAGTGGGCACAAAGAGCCATGCATGGGGAAGACCAGGTGCCAACCCCTCCCACTTTTTTTTTTTCTTTTCTACAGGATGCCCATCTCTCTGAGGTCAATGCGGTTTGTTTTGGCCCCAACAGCAGCCTTCTGGCCACTGGAGGGGCTGACCGGCTTATCCATCTCTGGAATGTCGTGGGAGGTAAGGATCTCAGACCTGTCCTTCATCCTCCCCTGCTGGAATGATCCTGTGAACATTGGCTAGAGGACTCCTGGGAGAAGATGGGTGCTGAGCTTACTGCTCTGAAGGACACGCTCTGGGTTCAGACCTGCAGAGCAGGGAGGGCTAAGCCCAGATGGCTGCTGCTGGAGGAGGTGGAGGGACCTCTGCTCCCATCCTGAAGGCATACAGAGCTAGGTATTGGCCAAGTCCCGGGTCTACCAAGACACATTTTAATTTTTAGATAGGTTTCTCTGTGTAGCCCTTGCTGGCTTGGAACTCACTACATAGTCCAGGTTGGCCTCAAACAGACATCTATGTGCCTTTGCCTCTCCGGTGCTGGTATAAACTGTGTCAATATGCCTCGCATAGCTACATCCTGTTGTAGTATTACTTGCACTACCAGAAATCAGTGAGGTGACCAACACTGTCTACCTGTGCTCTCTAGGGAAAGGGACTCAACACCAACTCTGGAAGGCTTCCCAGTAGTGGGTCTCCAGCTTGCCTGGCTTTGCCTGGCAGTATAACCTAGGGATAGTCCCTCTGCTCTGGTCTTCTCTAGCATTGTGAGCTAATTAGTACCACCTCCACCCCAGAGCCCAGGCCAGACCATTCTGTCGCTGCATCCTGCTCTGTGTCTGAGTTCCTCTATTTTGTAAGGCTGATTAATCTCATTCCATTGTCCTTTCCCCTGCTCTGTCAGGTCGTCTGGAGGCCAACCAGACCCTCGAAGGAGCTGGTGGCAGCATCACCAGTGTGGATTTTGACCCCTCGGTAAGGAGACTTTGCCCCATGGCATGGATGTCACCTGAGCCTCCACATTAGGCAGAGGGCTCCGGGGCCTGAGGGCATATTGTGGGTGGCTTAGAACCTGCTCTAGAGGAGCTACACTCACTCCCCTTGGAGCCATGGCTTGCCTCAGTGACTGGGAAGCTTGGAACAGCTTCTACCTTGGCTCTCTGGCCTGAGGGCCGATGCCTTTGCCAGACCCAGTATGGCCCAGGACCTTTCCTCCTCCCTCTCTGTAGGGCTCCCAGGTTCTGGCAGCTACTTACAACCAGGCTGCCCAGCTCTGGAAGGTGGGAGAGACACAGTCCAAGGTGAGGCCCAGCTGCTGCCTAAGGGTTAAAGGGTCATGTCCTATGATTTGCAGAGTGGTTATTTCGGGGGCTTGGCTTAATGGGTACTTTCTGTGGGGGCAGGAAACATTGTCTGGACACAAGGACAAAGTGACAGCTGCCAAATTCAAGCTAACAAGGCACCAGGCAGTGACTGGGAGCCGAGACCGGACAGTGAAGGAGTGGGACCTGGGCCGCGCCTACTGTGAGGCCCAATCCCATTTGCTCAACTCTCAGTCGTCAGGGCCCTTCCCTTGCTATGTTGTGGTAGCTGCGGGATTCATATTCATGTGGGCTCAAACCTCTAATGATTTCCTTCTCTGTCACTGCCGCTCACTTCCTGCTTTCTCGGTGACCCTGGTAGGTGAATTAGAGGTGGCTTGAGCCCTGGGCTGGGGATATTGGAGGAGACTTCCCTACTTGATCTTATACCACTGAATTTAGTGGCTCCTGATGACTCACTGAGACTCTGGGGTCTTCCCATCGGTCCTCAGGTTCCAGGACCATCGACGTGCTTTCCTACTGCAATGACGTGGCGTGCGGTGACCACATCATCATCAGTGGCCACAATGACCAGAAGATCCGGTTCTGGGACAGCAGGTAATATGGCATGGACTGCGTGTGGCACAGGCTCCTTGCAGTTTCCTTCCTTTCTCTGACTGTGGCAGGAAGGGCTACGGAACCCTGGAGAAGTATGGCTGTCAGACCGGCACTGCCAGTGGGCGGCTTCTGCTGGCCATGGTGTTTGAGGGTTCGGCATGTCTGGGGAGCTATGCCACCTTCTTAGTGGCTCTTAGTCAGCACTTAACTCCTTCCCAGGCCGTACAGCCAACACAGACAAGTGCCTTTTTAAATATTATCACCACTTTTTAGTAAAAAAAAAAACCAGCAACAAAAGAAAAGCTGCTTTTTAAAGTAATGAGCCCACCATTAGGCACGAATGGCTGACATAGGCAGAGCTCGAGTTTTGCAGGTCTCTGCGGCCTCTCTTTTTGAGATTGCTCCTTTGCTAGGGGTTGAACGCAGAGATATGTGCTGGCTAGGAGAATGCTCCCACCCCTTTTACATTCTTATTTTGAGACGGAATCTCAATAAAGTTTCCCAGGGTGGTCTTGAACTTACGATTTTATAATTCTCCTACCTCAGCTGGGATTACCTGCCAGTTCCACCATACCCGGCTATCACTGTTACTCCTCAGTGACCTGAGCCTTCTAAAGGATCCAACTCTCTAATCCATAGTGGAAAGGGACGATAGTCTTGTCAGCCTCACCCCCAGGGATTCAAGCCCTGGGGTGCCTCTGGATTATGCTACCTGGGAATGTGGCCACATACAGCCTGTCAGAAGTGTCCCAGGATGTCTCTTCTTCATCTCGGTCTGTCCCTCACTTCGCAGGGGCCCTCACTGCATCCAGGTCATCCCTGTGCAGGGCCGGGTCACCTCCCTGAACCTCAGCCATGACCAGCTGCATCTGCTTAGCTGTTCCCGAGACAATACACTCAAGGTTATTGACCTGCGAATCAGCAATATCCGACAGGTGTTCAGGTACTGGCCTGGGCCAGTTGGGCCTCTCCTGTGCAAGGAAAGTCCCGGGAGGCACTCCCTGATAGCCCCTTCCAGACTAGACCCTGCTGAAGTGCTGGTCCCTTTTAACATCTGGAGGAAGACTGGCACACTGGTAGCAACTTTTCTGACTGCAGTCCTAATCTGTCCTCAGGGCAGATGGCTTCAAGTGCAGTTCTGATTGGACCAAAGCTGTTTTCAGGTGCGTCTGGGAGGTCATGCCTATACATAGGCCTGTGTTTGTGTGTCTGTACTTCTGATCTTCTTCTCTTGTTCTGCTGTGACCTGTACAGCCCTGACAGAAGCTATGCACTGGCAGGCTCCTCAAATGGCACCCTGTACATCTGGGATGTGAACACTGGGAAACTGGAGAGCAGCCTACAGGGACCCCACTGGTGAGCAGCCTACTGAAACTTCCACATGCAAACCTTCCATGTTCTGATATGTCCCTAGACCTTTCACATGCATTTGGGTCCATCGCCACCATCCTGGGAGACCATTTTATAGATAATGAAATTGTCTTGGGCTTACAGAAGCTTCTCAAAGTGCCTGTTGGTTGGATGTCCAGGGTCAGAGTCAGGCTGCCTGCCTGTTCCTGCTGCCCTCCTGAGGTCTGTCTTCTCTTTCTTCAGCTCTGCTGTCAATGCCGTGGCTTGGTGCTTCTCCGGGAACCATGTTGTGAGTGTGGACCAAGGCAGGAAGGCGGTGCTCTGGCACTAGTGGCACAAGTTCCCTGTATGGGTTGGACTCTGTTCAGAAGTCAGAAGCCAGAGAACAGCTTCCCCATGCTCAGGACTCCAGAGCTGGAGTTGGGGTCTACTGTGTGATTCATGTGAGGGCCAGGCAGGACCTGGCTTGTTTAAAATCAGAGTGTGAGTTAGGAATGACAAATTTTAAGAATCTATTTGTTTACTCTCCTCAATGTTAAAAACTGTATCTAAGATGTGCCTTGCCTCTTTGAAGCATTTGAGGGTACAGAGGCACTTAAGGCTTGGCCTCTTCTTTTTCCATAGAGCTAGGGCCTTATAGTAGAGCTTCTGCCTGGAAGATGGGCTGCTCCAGTCTAACCATGGGATAACATGAAGAAAGGCCCATGCAGGGGCAGCAAAGAGCAGCTTTTCAGCCAGGGAGTGGTCCTGATGGTAAGGGTGAATAAACTAAAGTGACATTGGAATAGTTGGTAGTGGCCTGCCTGGAGCCTGGGATAGTGGCCTGAGCTGTAGTCCTATCTTCTGGATGATGGGTGGCCTCCTCCTGCCACTGTATCCCTCCCTTGTATGTTACCTCTGCCCCTCGCAGCCACAGCACCAGTCTGTGCGGCTGCTGTGTTTACCGCTCCTCTCTACAGGTGCCTTCACTCCCCTAGTCTCGTCCTCACACCATTTCCTTAGCTTTTGTTGTTGTTTGGACAGTGTCATGTTATGTAACCCTGTCTAATCAGGTACACATGTAATAGCTCAGAGCAGGCTGAGAACTTGTGGAAATCTGGCCTTAGCCTCAGTGCCGGGATGGCAGGCGTTGATTGTGCCGGTCCTCCGCATCTAAGGTGTCATGGTCAGCATGGTCAGAAGTCCCCTTTCTGCCTTCAGAGAAGTTCAGCACTTTGGTCTCCTACACATGCTTCTTCCTCTGCCTTCAATGTCCTTGTCTCTCCCAATGGCAATTCAGGTTGTCTTTTGGGATCCCTTTATTGACAGCCTATCCTTACCTGTCAGGCTCAGTAAGAGGCCTTGGTTCCCTACTTCCAGTTTGTCTCCCTTCTTAAAACTGGGAGCAACTGTAAGAGTAGGAACAGCATTTCCTGCCTCCAGTCCTGGCTCAGAAGCCACAGGAAACACAGTGGTCATATTCTCTTGCTTTCCAAGTTCACCAGTTGAAGGGTCCAGGAATGGGACTTTGCAGCAGTTCAAGCTCAACCCCTTAGCCTTGGCCCATTCCCTTGGCATAGCTCTCAGTGGCCACCAGGGGTCACTAGTTTTCTGGTCCGTAGGAGGGGTTTTTTTTCTTTTTTTTTATTGGATGTTTTATTTACATTTCCTATGTTGTCCCCTTACCCCATCCCCCACCCACCCAGGAACCCCTATCCCCTCACCCCTCCTCCTTCTTCTCTGTGGATGTAACCTCTATCTACCCCCCCACTCCCACCTCCCCACCCTCAAAATTCCCACTCCCTGGGGCATCCAGCCTTCATGAGGTCAAGGTTCTCTTCTTCCACCTATGCCCAGCAGGGCCCTCCACTCTTACATATTCAACTGAAGCGCTGGATCCCTCCCTAAGTGCTCCCAGGCTGGTGGTTTAGACCCTGGGAGCCTGTGGTTGGTTGGTATTGATGCTCTCCTCATGGTGCCGCAAATCCTTTCAGCTCTCCTTCAGTCTACACTCTAACTCCTCTATTGAGAACCCCATGATCAGTTCAGTGGCTAGTTGTGAGCATCTGCCTCTGAGTATGTCAGACTCTTGAAGACCTCTGAGGAGACATCCATATCAGGCTCTTATCAGCATGCACTTCCTGACTTCCACATCAGCCTCTACCTTTGGTGATTGCACATGGGATAGATACTCAGGTGGAGTGGTCTTGAAACGGCCCCTCCTTCAGTTTCTGCCCCTCACTTTGTAGGAGGGTTTTTTTTCTTTCTGCCTTCACAGAAAATTCTAACATCCAGTGAGCACCATTAGTGAGGCTCACCCTTTGTTCTGCCTAAGCATTTGTGAAAGATCATGTTCTACAAGTGAGAAAAGAGAGGCTTGAAGGTTGTCATTCAAGGTCACACAGCTGAATGGTTCTGCATCACATCCTGCAGCCTTTTATTTTGAAACCTAGCCTCAAAAGTCCTCATTTATGTAGCTGAATGTGCCTGTGCCTCCACCTCCCAAGTACTGCCATTACAGATGTGTGTCCCCATCCCATATGATGTTGGAGACTGGAACCTCGGGGCTTTGTGTGGGTCAGGAAAGCAATCTACAAACTACAACTTCAACCCACATCCTCTCTTTTTATACAATTATGTGTTTGAATATTTTGCCTGCATGTATATAAGTTTATTGTGTGTGTGCTTGGTGCCCACAGAAGATATCTTAAACTGAAGTTATGGATGGTTAGGAGCTGTCATGTGGCTGCTGAAAACTGAACCCAGGTCCTCTGCAAGAGCATCAAGTGCTCTTAACCTATGAATCATTTCCCCAGCCCCTGCACCATAAAACCCAAATTTCAAGAGACAGAGGCTCTCAACTGGCTAGGGCTTTTCCATCAGGGGTACACAGAGCTATGCCTAACCTGACTCTGTCAAATTCTCTTCCACCTTGGACTCTGAGCTGAAGATTACCTCTGGAGGCAGGTGCTGAGATGCAAGAGTGAGTCCTAGGAGATAGCTGCACCAGCCACAGCATCTGAGCAAAATCCCTCCAGATGTTTCCTTCATACCTCAGGTAGTAGTGAACTCTATTTTAAGGACCCACCAGAGTTACCCAGGAAATGTGAATCACTCCTGGGTACAGGAATTCATCTGCCCCTCCAGTTCTCCTGAGCTCATGTGAACCTCTGAGGAAGAACCAAGGCTAGCAAAGGAGAAATTGCTAGGGTTCCTGAGCTTGCCTGGAGAACTATGTGAACAAAGCAGAACTATGTGAAAGGGGTTTAGGCTTAGTTGGTAGGATGCATGCTGAGCATGCACGAAGCCCTGGATTCAACCTCCTGCATCACACAGAACTCAGTATTATGTATTATGCCTAGAATCTCAGCACGTAGAAGGAAAGACGATCAGAAACCCAAGGCCATTATGAGTTGGAGGCCAGCCTGGGCTACATAAGGCTGTTTAAAAAATTTTAGAAAAGCCAAAACAGCAAAATATTGGTGAACTTTCTGGTTCTCTTTGGCAAAAACTAGACTCAGGTTCAGTAGAGGGCACTGGCCTAGTCTTGTGGAAACCAGTTTAGCTTCTGCTGCCACTCCTATCTTATTATAAATCTCAGGGAAGTCCTAGTGTCTTCCAGGCTGTGTTATGTACCCCTCCCCACTACGGAACTTCCTTCAGAGGCCGATTTACAGATGTGAGGCCTGCTGCCTGAATAGGCTAGGCTCAAGCCTTACTGATCCTGAGACCCCAAGGAGAAGAGACAAGTGTTGATTTAGGGATCTTATTGTCAGTCCTAGCTCAAGCCAATTCTCTTGCCCAAGATGTGAGCCTTTCCAGTGGCCTGTAGGCAGTCTCTGGAAGAATTCCGACACCAGGTATAGGCCCACTTGTGAGATTCAGATATACCATGGGTACCATGTCTGCTGAAGCATATTTGCTAGTAATTATCTTTAGTTCATCTGTACATTATCTAATCCTCCTGGATCTGAGGCAGTTTATATTATCCTCTCACTCCCAAGTTAAAGATGAGAAAGTTGAGGGCTGAGACTTAAGATTATGGCAGGCAAGTCCATGCACGGCAGAGGTTGTCCATGGGTCTTCACGCAGTTCTTTTCCTGCCCTTTACTGGTGTGTCTGGCATATAAATCTGTGGACCCTGCTCACATGTTCTTTTTTATTAATGCTTCAGGATAACATTCCAAAAACATGTTCCTTGAACAACACTCTCAGGAAAAGTCATGAAGGAATCCTATGTGTTTTCTTGGCCACTGGTCCAAAGGAAAATAGTCTAGGAACAAGACAGTCTTTGGTGTTCTCATAATTCTTGGCAGCTCATGCTTTTATAAAGCAAACCCAGCAAAATCCCAGGAGAAAACTAAACTGGTTATGTCAAGTTGCAGGCTTTCAGGAAGAAATGTTTATTTTCCTCTTGACCTAAAATTTCTGCAATTTGGTTTTATTTCTGATACGTATGTGTGTGTGTGTGTATGTGTAGACACACACACATCCAACTTAAGCTAAATAAATGCAGAAATTCATTGCAGCCAGATACTGTCCTAAGGCCACTCAGAGATGGGCAGTAATTAGAACCAATCCTGAAGCTGTGGCTGGACTCCTCGGAGGATAGTCTGACTGGCTTGGCCCAGGAGTGGCACCATAATACAGATCATAATGGCTGCTTTGTCTCTGGGGATGAGTCCAGGGACCTGAATTTTCATTTTATTGTTACCCCAAGAAATCCATGTCTGTTTTCTTTTTTTTTCTTTTTTTCTTTTTTCTTTTTGTTTGGTTTTTCGAGACAGGGTTTCCCTGTATATCCCTGGCTGTCCTGGAACTCACTCTGTAGACCAGGCTGGCCTCGAACTCAAGGGGTGCGCCACCACCTTCTGGCCCCGTGTCTGTTTTCAAACATTGAGCTTTTGTGTAATTTTCTCCTGCATCTAGAATAACTCAACTGGTCTAGGGGAGAATTGGATAAGCCCATCAAAGTCACTTCATTGCTTCACTACATCATTTCTAAAGATGGGGTAGCGGCGGCTAGGGGGAAAAGATGTTCTAGTAGGTAGTGGCAGGGCTAAAGCCAGGTTAACATCCTGCTTTGACTCTGACTTATGGGCTTAGAGAGGTCAGGGTCAGGTAATTAACAGTGAGTCTATGACTTGACAGCTTGGTCAGTTCCTGTGACAAAGGAAACCAACATGGATGACACCAGGGTAGGACAACTAGCTGAACTCTGGCCTAAATTAAAGACTAAGCCTCCAAGACTAGTGTCAGACTTGAGAGTGAGCTTTCACTGCAGAAAATGTGTCCTTACACATCTGTGGCACTTCAAACCCATTCTTCCTGTGTGTTATTAAGTGGCTAGGGGATGGAAGGACCCCTTGTCCTGAAGACCTTGAAGGCTGAGAGAGATTACAGTGCAGATGGTTGTTTATGCCACCCTCTGCTACATACTTTGTTTCCTTCCCGAATCTCAGCTTCTCCTCAGCTGCAGGACACAGGATCATTCCTTGTAGCTGCCCCAAGTGGCTGACCATGGTTTACTAACCCACACTTGACTTCCCATGTCCACATTGCTCCATGTACTGTTGGTGGAAATGCAAACTCATGCAATTCTTTTGGAGGCCAATTTGGCAAACATTTAACCCTTTCTGTCAAATTCTACATTTAGGAATTTGTCCAATATTTACACTGTTAACAAAATTATAAAGAAGTATATACAACAATGTTAGCTTCAATTTTCTAAAAACAAATGGCTAGATACGACTTAAATACCCGCCACTAAAGGAACAATTAAATAATTATATATCCAAACAATTGA